GGCTTTGGCCAAATAAATGTTTTTTTTTTTTTTTTTGGTTGGGGAGTTGGAAAAAAAAAAAGGTTTTTTGAAACTGTATATATTCATAAATATATAATGTGTAAATCAAATATATAAGAATTCGGGTGCTTTTCCCCCAAAATTAAAGTTTTTTTTTCTTCTTTTAATGGAGATGTTTGTTCAAGAAATTAATTTACCACGCTTAGGAGTGTTCATATGGTCTGAAAACTCTCCATCTAAACCCTAAAGATTTGGTTGGATTATGTTGGATTGACTTTTTCTCGTATAACTTTAATTATAATTCAATTCAAATTTATCCTATTTTTTAGATTATTATTAATATTAAAAATATTTGATGTTTGTAATTATGTAACTAAAAAAATATTTTAATATTTAAATTTTATGAGATTTTAATTATTAATGTAAAATATATTTTAAATAATTAAAAAATGTACATGAGAATTCAATCGAAAAATAAAGAATTGAGTTAAGTTAGATTGTGAATCCTATTCCCGTTACTTAGGTCACCAACGCAACTAACTCAAAATTTTGAGTTTGTTTTAAGAAAAATTTCAAATAACTTTTTTTTTTTTTCAAATTTGATTCCGACAAGAACCACCCATTTTTGTGTGGTTTTTAGTCGGTTTTCATTTAATATTTTAATAAATTGTTGTATTTTTTGGCATTAAAATTTTAATTGTTTGGACATTTTTGGAAATGAAAAGAGAATAAAATTTTGATCCATCCGACCATTTTAATATGAAAGAATTTTTTTTTCTCAAACTATTGGAATAATTACCATTAAAAAAAATTAATAATTATAAGGCTTTAGGGCATAAATTCCAACAACATCACCGATTCATCACGGTTCAAATAGTCCAGAGAATTCATTAAAGATTAATTAGAGATTTTTTAACCGTCCCCATATAGTCATAATCACGTGGAAATGACTCTTGTACTTGCCAATTATCTTGATACTATGAAGATTCCTTTCCCTCACAATAACGTTATTGTTGGAGATCCTCTAAGCAGTTATCACATAATAACTTGATGGCAATACATATCTACTGAGACAGTTAAGATTGAAATCGACTAATCTTAATCGATTTCTACCACGGTTCTTTCGCCAAATTGAAGTCTCAAAACCGTGGCCCAACCTTCACTAAACCAACACCACACAAAAAACGAACAAAAACTCCACCAAACACTCATGAATTGATCAAATGTCTCTAACGACTATCAGTTTAAAAATTGAGTTTCTAACGACCAAAACTAACACGATCCATTCGATATTCTTTCCGATCTTCATCGGGAATGACATAATTACTATGCTTGTCACGCGAAATCGAGGAAGAAGGCACTTAATCAATTTTCTCTCTAATATCTTTCCAATATTCTTTCCAAGTGGTCATTTTGTAATAGTGAGATTGAACTTTCTCTTAAGGTTTTTAAAATAAGTTTGTTAGAAGAGGTTTCCGTTTGAATGAGACGATCTAATACCTGATAAGACAAAGATTCATCTGCAACATGACTAGGTTACCGATTCAATTTATCTTAAATTATTTCTAAAAGTTAAAACTATCCCACAAAAACTAATAGTCTTTTTGACATGTTTTGTCCTCACTCCATGTTTCCTACTAAAATTTTCAAGAGATCACATAATATATATATATATATATATATTAACTATATATTATTTTAAAAATTTATGTGACAAGATATTTTGCATTTGACAACACATTTTCAATGGTAGTTACCATGATGTCTTTTAGTTTTCAATTAAAAAAAAAAAAAATCAAAATTTATTGAACGTGGTTTGATGTCTCTAAGATTAGCTCATAAAAAGTTTTCATTTTCTGATAATGTTCTTGTTAGAACATCATTTGATAATGTTCTTGTTTCTGAAAAGAAAGAGCAAGAAATGTATTAAATAACAATCCTGAGTAGGTTCTTTTTTTTTTTTGTTGGTTTCTCTCAAGACCAAACAAAGTATAGTTGTACATAGTAGCTCAATGCTTAAGTCGACAATGAAAGTATATATGATTTGTACACATAAAAACATCGCGATATAGGTTTCAACGCACAATCAAACGTCAAAAGCTAGGACATGAAAGCTCCATTACTGTTAGGGAGGCAGATTCAGGCAACGGATACCACACGAGGAGGAAAACGATGTGGAACAAATCACTTGTATTGACCAGGTGGCTGATGCAGAGGATAAGCCGGTGGCGGATAGTCTTCAGCACGAGGAGGAGGTGGGTAGCCTTGAGTCGGGGGAGGAGACGAGAAGCCTTGACCTGGGGGAGGAGGCGGGTAGCCTTGAGCCGAGGGAGGGGGCGGGTAGCCTTGAGCCGAGGGAGGGGGCGGGTAGCCTTGTGTTGGGGGAGGGGATGCGTAGCCTTGAGCCAGGGGAGGTGGCGGGTAGCCTTGAGCCGAGGGAGGGGGTGGGTAGCCTTGAACATATGGAGGGGGTGGGTGTCCAAAGGGTTGTCCATACATCGGAGGAGGATATCCGACTGGACCGGGGATCGGTTGATTGATCCGAGACATCTGCTGTGTAGGAGGCACAGCCATGGCTGGTTGGGGTCCAAACTTGCCATCCCTTTTGTCTAACTCCATCTTGTGTTGTGTCTGCACTTCTCAATGGTAACATCATCAGAAAAGCATAACACTGATTCATATTGTACTGTAATACTATGGTTTTGCAACAGAAATTACAGATACTCCCATATAGAATTCAAGTATCTCACACAAGCAAGCAAATAATTAGTAGCTCCATGATACATTTCAAGAAAATTTCTAAAAAAATAATCAAGAAAATAAAAGGTGTCGAAGTTTGATTAAGAGCCATGTTCTATCAAGTTTGAGAGTAAGAGCGTTTAGATGATGGGAATGTTAGAAACCACGAACCTCCACAATGATATGATACTATACAAGTTGAGCATAAGCTCTCACGGCTTTACTTTTGGTTTCCCCAAAAAGCCTCGTACCAATGGAGATGTATTCCTTACCTATTAAACCCATGATCAACCCCTTAATTAGCCAACGAGGAACTCCTCTCCCAACAATCCTCCCCTCGAACAAATTACACCATAAAGCCTCTCCTAAGGCCTATGGAGCCCTCGAACAATCACGGGGCTCGACTCCTTCTCTAGAATTCAAGAACAAAGTACACCCTTTGTTCGACACTTGCGTCACTTTTGACTACACCTTCGAGGCTCACAACTTCTTTGTTCGACATTTGAGGATTCTATTGACATAACTAAGTTAAGGGCATGACTCTAATACTATGTTAGAAACCACGAACCTCCACAATGGTATGATATCGTCCACTTTGAGCATAAGCTCTCATGGCTTTGCTTTTGGTTTCTCCAAAAGACCTCATACCAACCATGTAATTACTCGATGTGGGACTCCTCTCCAAACAATCCTCAACAGAAAAGAGGATGTAGAAACCTGGGTTTGGGTAGCGCTCCGTTTACTCGTGAGTTTGTGATTTGGAACAAAATGGTAAGTTTCATAAGCTAAAGTTTACGTAACCTTCATGAGTTTGTGAGTTATGAAAGTCCATATAAAATGTGGAAAGTTATGTTTCATGAACCTAAGTTCATGTAAGTAGAGATTTAGGCTAGCCATATGAGAAAAGAAAGAAAATCCATATACACCAATTATAGGTAGAAATCTTTTAAGCTTTTTAAAAAATCGGGACATACCTGCATGCACGCACATACACTGCAAAACAAAAGAGTTCAAAATTCTTAAAAGAGAACTTTAATGTCAATATGAGTTAAGAAGATTGAATGCAACCCCATACCTGCAGTACACAAGGTTAGATAAACAGGTCACTATATCCGAGGCTTCTTGAAGCTCTTCACTTCCAAGCAAGCAAGCAATTATGGAGCATATGCAAGCCAGTTGTGAGAGGCACAACATAAAGCCCTACAAAGTAAGACAAACTTGTTAAAGGGAGAAAAGGCCGAGGCACAAGCAGCTTAATGAACGAATGGTTTGAGAGAGAAGACGACACGATGATGCAGTTATCACACTCAGTTGTCTGTATATTGAACTCGTCTTGCAACATGAAACGTGTTGATGCAACTGAATTCGCAAAGCAACAAAAAACCTGAAAAGAACACACAATTCTTCAAACTAGATCCCATAGGAGAATAAATGAATGAAATGATGTTTAGATAGCTAGAGGATCAAAGGGGACCATGGTTCTCGATCGATAAACGAACCTCGGTGCATAGACAAGCTTCAGGGCAGTGGCCTTCTCCACATTTGCCACTACAAGGCATGTAACCACCACAGCATTTGTATCTATGATAGATTAACCAAAGGATTCAGCAATGGTACACACTTTATCTTGTGGTAAAATTACAAACCTTCGCCGAAAATACCTCGACATATCGTCATAAAGAGCTCGTTTTCGCAGAAGGTAAGAAGCACATGGGGCACTTTTCACACAATCAAGAAGCATTATAAGAAAAACCATACCAAAATACTCTAGAAAACTCAAAAGCAATAAAAAGCGAATACCGTTTTGAACATTATAAAGCAAGCATACATCTACATTCTTTTGAAGCCATATGAAACTTGCAGAATATTACATTGCATTAAAGAACTAAGAACACAAATGCTCATAAACATAGCGAAGTTTTTCGACTCCTGAAATCGGAACTACGATTGAGAAGAACTCATCAGAGAACAAACACCTTACCAGAATATAGAAAAGCAACAATCTGCAAAACAGAAGAAAAAAAATAAAGAAATAATCAGCGTATTTATATGGTTTGGGAGAAAATTGATTGGTCAAGCAACATCAAGATATTTAATAGAATAAACAAATTAAAGAATACCCTGTAGCAAATAAACCAATAGCCGCCATTGTTAACCCTTTGGAAAGGAACAGAGCTAGAGAAAGGTAAAAGGTCATAGCAAGCAAAATCAAAGATGAATCGATTTCAGGTAATTTTTACCCTATCCCATCAACGAAACAGAGTAAAAGAAATCAAGTACGAACACAAGATTTTCAACATTCTTCCCTCTCAATCGATTAATCCAAAAAGATAACCAAAATCGAACAAGAAATTTCAAATACATACAAGGCGTATTGGCAGAAATGGTGCCCGTGAGATCCGTATGCCAGAAATTTCTGTAATCCTGACGAAGCTGCATTTTCTCAAGGTAATCGGCATGCGACGCCATGGTCAGGTTGCGGATGAACCACTTCAGAAAGGATTCGAAGCTAAATCTCGAAGATCAATATGGAAATCTAAAGATATTCACAGTCAACAACGGAGCTTGCACGTTCAGGTTTCTTAGCGGTCAAGGAAGAAGATGAAGTTGGAGGTTTTTTTTTTTTTTTTTTTTGAATTGTAAAGAAATTTTGATAATGAACTCTGGAATTTGTTGTGTTTTCCGCAAATTTTGATGAGACGTTTGAACAGAAATTCCAAATGAAAATTTGTCTAAAAGAAGAAATTCCAAATGAAAATTTGGTTTCATCCGTTATCAAATTATGTTTGTATAATATATATATATATATATTTAGAACTTTTTAAAAATTATTTTTACTTCTAAAATATTATTAAATTCTTTTTCTTAAAATACCTATTTATCTTTATTTCTAAAATACATAAATTATTTTTTCTAAAATGTACAGGACAACCAGTACGTACAATTATTGAGTTTTGACTGTCTTGAGCTAATAATGATCAAACACTATCTCCTTTTGTCATACTATGTTGTTCATAGCGAAAACCTTCGTATTTGCCAATATTCAGCGCTTGTGTAAACAACTCTGCCATTTGATCATCTGTCTTGATCTCCCACATTTCGATTTCTTTCTGTCTTGATTTCTTTGTTCAACGCTTTCAATCTGCTAGGCAAACTGCAGATTGGTTGTCGCAGCAATGATATGGTATAAATTCTCCATTAAGAGTTTCAACCATGTACTTTTTTTTGTTGTTCCGGTTGCTGCTCTGTACTTTACTTTTGTAGTTGACAATGATACCGTTGGTCATCTTTTGCTACACTAAGAAATTATCTCGAACAAACTTGAAAATATACCCAGTGGTTGATCTTCGAGTATCGTGGTCTCCTTGCATAGTTAGCATCTTACAATCTTCACTTCTTTTGTACAAAATACCATAGCGTGAGTCGCATCTAAATGAGACTTTTTTATATCTTGCATATATCGACTCAAAACTCCTACTGCATAAGAAATGTCAAGCCGAGTTAAAGTTAGGTAAATAAGTCTACCTACTAATTGTTGGTATATCGTTTCATCATTCAACTCTTTACCTTTGAGTGCATAAATTTTGATATTTGACTTCTTTGGTATTGAAACTTACTTGCACTGAAGCATGTCGAACTTCTTAAACATATTTTTATATGCTTTGATTGACGAAGAAACATTCTTCATATGTGCGATCAACATCTAGACCCAAGAAGTGTTTAAGCTCTACTAGGTCTTTCATCTGAAAGCGTATCAATAAATTTTTTCTTGTTTGATGAATTTCTCTTTCACCGTTTCCATTGATGATCAAGTCTTCCACGTAAACCAATGGTATTGCCAAATTTCATTCTCGTTCTTTGATAAACATGCTTGAGTTTGCATATGCAACTAATCCATAGAAATCTCTTAGTGCTTGCTTGAATCCATACCGAGCTTTTCTAATCTTATATACATGATTAAGATTAGTTGTATTCTCTACTCAGGATTGTTGGGAAGGATCCCACATTGGCTAATTTAGGGAATGATCATAGGTTTATAAGTAAGGAATACATCTCAATTGGTATGAGACCTTTTGTGGAAGCCCAAAGCAAAGCTATGAGGGCTCATGCTCTAACGAGACAATATCATACCAATGTGAAGATCTCTAATTCATATCATGGTATTAGAGCCATGTCCTTAATAGGATTGCTGAGGATTGTTGGGAGGCTGTCCCACATACTCTTTTAGCGGATTACAGAGGTCAACTGTACTTTTGACCCAAGGACTTGCTTTAATGATTATATCAATGAACTTTGAGCTTAAGGTGAAAGATCTAATTACAGAGATCAAACGAACTTTGACCCAACCTAGTTCTTTTTATGAGGGACAAACAGGAGAATTGATCCTGAAAGCGGGAGAACGACTGACGCTGCGCGAAACCATCACAAAGGTTTATGTACAAAGAACAGGCAAACCCTTATGGGTTGTATCCGAAGATATGGAAAGAGATGCTTTTATGTTAGCAAAAGAAGCCCAAGCTCATGGAATTGTTGATGTTGTAGCGGTTGAATAAAAAATAGCGGGGGTTAATCCTATTAATTATTAATATCGAATATAGAAGTAATTCATAATCATCCGGTTAGGATTGATCTAAACCAACTCATTATGTATACAATTCAACATGCCAATCAGAAATATCAGAAATATCACCAAATCGCTCTTTTTTTTTACAGACAAACCAAAGATGTTTTGTCTTCTTTTGATATTCTCGGAATAATAAAAACGCTTTCTAGACCTTGGATATGGAAAAACACAAAATTGACTATTTCACCAACTTGACCTACCGTACATAAGAGTGCAACTCTAAGTCTATAAGAGTGCAACTCTAGGTCTATAGGTCTAGAGTACATAACTTGTCATTCATGGGCTTCCCATGTCAAGTTTATTACCAGGCACAATTACTGTATTCTTTGTACTTTTTCTTATCATAATTTCCTCTTAGCTCACTTCATTCCCTTGCAATTGCATCAATAAATACCACTATTTTTACCACTTCTCATACAATCGCATACCTCTTAGCTCGCCATACATATGATCAGGTCGAAAGCCCATGCATGCATCAAGGGCCTCGCGTGCACGTCAATAGGTCATGTGTGCCCATCAACCTACAATTGCGCACATGTTTCAACATGCCACGAGTAGTCATTTCAGGCCCAACAATGCATACCTTCACCGCCCATGTTCCGCCCATGTTCGCACGCCTTTGCAGTTATTCACTGGCTCGCCCAGGCACAAAATCTACCCCGCACACATCCATTAATGTATGTTCAAACCAAGACGATGTAACATTCAACCCACCAACCTCATGCACATCTCGAAAGCGCGCCCAAGCCAACATCATGCGGTGCCCAACCCACCAAATCCTTGCACACCCACATGTGAACGCCGTCGTGCCCAACAAGTGTGCCCACCAGCCCACAACCACGCTCACCAGTAATGTTGTGACTTGTGCTTAGGAGGTCCATATATCTAAAACGTTGCCACATCAAATCTCATAGTATCTTCATGTAATTACAACACTGAAACCAATTCCAATAGTTTTGCTTTATGGGTAATTTCAAGTTGCATTCAGCTAAATTGGCAAAATTGGGCAAAACTTCTCTCTTTATTTAAGTGAAAAGAAGCTACATTATCGAAAAAATATCAAGAAATAATATGAAAAAAGACGAGGCTACTCAATATCCGGGAAACTGTGGTGGTGGTGGAGATGCATATTGGAAACCAATGTTTGGTGGTAGGATTAGATCTTCGAACGCCGGTGGTGGAGAAGCGCCAGGAGGAGGAGGAGGAGATGCGGTCGGAGGCGGTGGAGATGCGGTAGGAGGTGGGGGAGAGTAGACTGGTGGCGGTGGAGATGCGGTAGGAGGTGGGGGAGAGTAGACTGGTGGCGGTGGAGAAGCGGTCGGTGGTGGGGGAGAGTAGACTGGTGGCGGTGGAGAAGCGGTCGGTGGTGGGGGAGAGTGGACGGGTGGCGGTGGAGATGCGGTCGTTGGCGGTGGAGATTCAGTCGTCGGCGGTGGAGATTCAGTCGTCGGCGGTGGAGATTCAGTCGTCGGCGGTGGAGATTCAGTCGTCGGCGGTGGAGATTCAGTCGTCGGCGGTGGAGATTCAGTCGTCGGCGGTGGAGATTCAGTCGTCGGCGGTGGAGATTCAGTCGTCGGCGGTGGAGATTCAGTCGTCGGCGGTGGAGATTCAGTCGTCGGCGGTGGAGATTCAGTCGTCGGCGGTGGAGATTCAGTCGTCGGCGGTGGAGATTCAGTCGTCGGCGGTGGAGATTCAGTCGTCGGCGGTGGAGATTCAGTCGTCGGCGGTGGAGATTCAGTCGTCGGCGGTGGAGATTCAGTCGTCGGCGGTGGAGATTCAGTCGTCGGCGGTGGAGATTCAGTCGTCGGCGGTGGAGATTCAGTCGTCGGCGGTGGAGATTCAGTCGTCGGCGGTGGAGATTCAGTCGTCGGCGGTGGAGATTCAGTCGTCGGCGGTGGAGATTCAGTCGTCGGCGGTGGAGATTCAGTCGTCGGCGGTGGAGATTCAGTCGTCGGCGGTGGAGATTCAGTCGTCGGCGGTGGAGATTCAGTCGTCGGCGGTGGAGATTCAGTCGTCGGCGGTGGAGATTCAGTCGTCGGCGGTGGAGATTCAGTCGTCGGCGGTGGAGATTCAGTCGTCGGCGGTGGAGATTCAGTCGTCGGCGGTGGAGATTCAGTCGTCGGCGGTGGAGATTCAGTCGTCGGCGGTGGAGATTCAGTCGTCGGCGGTGGAGATTCAGTCGTCGGCGGTGGAGATTCAGTCGTCGGCGGTGGAGATTCAGTCGTCGGCGGTGGAGATTCAGTCGTCGGCGGTGGAGATTCAGTCGTCGGCGGTGGAGATTCAGTCGTCGGCGGTGGAGATTCAGTCGTCGGCGGTGGAGATTCAGTCGTCGGCGGTGGAGATTCAGTCGTCGGCGGTGGAGATTCAGTCGTCGGCGGTGGAGATTCAGTCGTCGGCGGTGGAGATTCAGTCGTCGGCGGTGGAGATTCAGTCGTCGGCGGTGGAGATTCAGTCGTCGGCGGTGGAGATTCAGTCGTCGGCGGTGGAGATTCAGTCGTCGGCGGTGGAGATTCAGTCGTCGGCGGTGGAGATTCAGTCGTCGGCGGTGGAGATTCAGTCGTCGGCGGTGGAGATTCAGTCGTCGGCGGTGGAGATTCAGTCGTCGGCGGTGGAGATTCAGTCGTCGGCGGTGGAGATTCAGTCGTCGGCGGTGGAGATTCAGTCGTCGGCGGTGGAGATTCAGTCGTCGGCGGTGGAGATTCAGTCGTCGGCGGTGGAGATTCAGTCGTCGGCGGTGGAGATTCAGTCGTCGGCGGTGGAGATTCAGTCGTCGGCGGTGGAGATTCAGTCGTCGGCGGTGGAGATTCAGTCGTCGGCGGTGGAGATTCAGTCGTCGGCGGTGGAGATTCAGTCGTCGGCGGTGGAGATTCAGTCGTCGGCGGTGGAGATTCAGTCGTCGGCGGTGGAGATTCAGTCGTCGGCGGTGGAGATTCAGTCGTCGGCGGTGGAGATTCAGTCGTCGGCGGTGGAGATTCAGTCGTCGGCGGTGGAGATTCAGTCGTCGGCGGTGGAGATTCAGTCGTCGGCGGTGGAGATTCAGTCGTCGGCGGTGGAGATTCAGTCGTCGGCGGTGGAGATTCAGTCGTCGGCGGTGGAGATTCGGTCGGAGGCGGTGGAGATTCAGTCGTCGGCGGTGGAGATTCAGTCGTCGGCGGTGGAGATTCAGTCGGAGGCGGTGGAGATTCAGTCGTCGGCGGTGGAGATTCAGTCGTCGGCGGTGGAGATTCAGTCGTCGGCGGTGGAGATTCAGTCGTCGGCGGTGGAGATTCAGTGGTCGGCGGTGGAGATTCAATGGTCGGCGGTGGAGATTCAGTGGTCGGCGGTGGAGATTCAGTGGTCGGCGGTGGAGATTCAGTGGTCGGCGGTGAGGATGGAACTTGATGATGATGATGATGATGAGGTGTGGATGGAACTTGATGATGATGATGATGATGATGGTGATGATGAGGTGAGGATGGAACTGGGGGCTCGCCCGATTCTGAAGTTGGTGGCTGCCTACGAACCCGTCCCGGATGGGTCGGAGACTGACTAACTGGATCTTCACCACAACCTCTACACTTCACCGACTTCATCATAAAAGAGCTACAACTCTCAGCATCTCTTTGCTCCGGGCGATTGGGCAAACAATTATGAACATCACCAAAAATCTTTTTTGAATCCTTAGATGTCACACACTCTCCATCTTGCTGATTAAAATAATTAAAGGAATAAGTAAAGTTATCCAAATGAGGTAATTTACATATCTCTGCAGAAACAGAGCCCCTAAATTCATTGTAACTAACATCAAGCCACTGCAAATTCTTGAGCCCCGATAACGCAGGCAACCAACCAGGAAAGCTATTGTTGCTGATATCAAGCACCGTTACATTGACAAGCTTTCCAAGCTCGACTGGGAGACAGCCATCGAGGTTGTTGCCAATGAAGAGAACTTGCTTAAGGCTGCTCATTTGGCCAATGGTTTTTGGAATGCAGCCATGGAAGTAGTTGTACGCAAAGGACACAACGGAGACAGTGGAGTTTCCAATGGTATCCGGGATGAAGGAACTGAATCTATTGTTATTTAAGAATATGGCGTCGAAGGTCATAGTGAAGAGTGCCGGTGGGATTTCTCCTTCAAAGTCGTTGAACCTAAGATCGAGGTACTTAGCAATACGCCAATAAAAGACAACCTCTGGAAAATGGCCAACGAACCGGTTGTTACTGACATCAAACTCAAACATGAGAGTGAGCTTAGAAAAGCTATGAGGAATTATCCCACAAAACCTATTAGAGTTAATATGGAACAACGCCAAATCTGTCAAGAGTCCAAGCTCAGGTGGCAAGTAGCCTGCAATGTCAGCATGGTTCAAATCAATGCCAGCCACAACCTCAACAGTGGAGTCATCAAGCGCCGTAGTACAAAAAACGCCCCTATAAAGACAAACATCATTGCCAACCCAATTTTCAGTGAAGTTATATGGGTCAGAATACATGGCGGCTTTCCAAGCTTTAAGGGCAACAAAAGCCTTCTTCAACCTCTCATTTAAGAAAGTTTCTTGAGGATCAACTTCAACTTCATATTTATAGTTATCTGGGAGTTCATCGTGTTCTCTTATAGCCAAAAGTTGACGACCAATGAGATACGAAACTTCAGCTTTCGTGACAGCGAGGGAGACCGATGGGAGAGTGAAGACCACAAAGAGGAGGAAGAGAAGAAGAGAAGCCATTGTTAGTTGCTTTGTTATTGGGAGAGATTGGAGCCTTTTAAAGAGTTTAGTATGGAGTTTGAATTTGTTGTTTTGTGGGTTGGGATTAATTGTAGGGTTATTTGTGGTGTTGAGAGAGACTTAGTTGTTTAAAAATAAGAGAAAGAAGGAAAGAATCCTTCTAATTCAACACTTGAAAACTCAAATTTCAATACACAAAATTTACACCTTATTATTAATATTTTAAATATCAATTTAATTTAGATTGCTATTATTATTATTATGATTATTATTTTACAATATTTTTATATTACTTTGTAGAAAATATTTGTTTTTAAATTACTTTCACTCCATAGAATTAATTAATCGTGTTTCGTTTGTTATTGGTTAAATTTGTAACTAGCTACGTCTATTTTACGTGTAAGGACTAATGATATGAACTAAGAATGTTGTACAAATTATTTTAAAATTCTATTAAATTTGAATTCAAGTTACAATCAATTTCACGTCTTATTAAGTCTAAATATTTTAATATTCTTAGATGGTTACAAATCTCAAACCGAACTAGTACATTCGTTGGTACACGGTTATGCTTATAAAATATTGTTAGTTAAGACTCACACAAACACAACGTCAAAACCGTATCTAATATATATTAATTATTTTAATATTTGATGTATAAAATATAATAAATATATTATTCTTTTTTTCAATTAAATGAATTGAGGACTTTATCGACTTATTATAAGCTCCAATCATACAAATTTAATTTTATAAGTCTTTCTTTTACGAGTTGTTTATAATTATAGGTCGGACAAAATTTCATTTTCCGTCTTTTAATTAAATCTTACACCATAAGTATTAATGATCTTCGAATGAACAATTTATTGAATTAATTATAAAGATTAGGAGGGGCTCATTGTTCAGTCTTGAAATTATAACTAAAGAAACGGCTCATTTACTTATCCAATATGAGAAGGAATGTTCCAAGCTCTATATTTAGTATGTGTGTACACTTAATCCAAGAACGTGGACCAACCCAACTAGAACTATAAGGATTGGGTTGCATGAGTTCATTTTTTCTGAACCCAAATTGATTCGGTTCGATTTTAGGTTCATAGGATAAAACCTTCACGTTGATCCGAGCTAAAACAAATATATGATTATATTCAAAAACTAATAAATTTTTTGATATGAGAATTTCTATATTAGTGTTTGTTGGAAGGAGATATTTTATTAATTTTAAAATAAATTTTTTGAAATTCCTAATTTCTATATTTGTGCTTAAAACTTTTTAGAATTTTTAAATATTTTACTATATCCAGAACCGTAACTATTATTTTTGAAATTCTAATACTTAAATCGTGGACATAAAATTAGATAGAATAGAAAATTAATTTGAATAGATTTAAAAAATTTTGTTATAAAACTAAGATAAGTAACCGTAAATTCTAATATATTTATTATTTATTTGTTACAACATTATCTTATTATAGCACCGTTTATATGTTTTTATTTTTTATTTTTTAATAGTTTAGGACCTTCTAATTTCATCGGTATATTTCAATTAAAATATTTTTTTTAATAATTTAGGACCTTCTAATTTCATCTATATTTCAATTAAAATATATATATATATATATATATATATATATATATATATATTTCTATATAGAGGGTCTTTATTTATTTTTTTATTGTTTTATTATTATTATTATTATTTTAATTTCATCATCTATCCTTATATTTTTCTTACTTAAACAAATCATCAACGAAGTGTTTATTTAGTTTTTTACTTTAACAAATTCTCAATGAGTGTTAGGTATATAGTTGTTTTATGATAATGTTGAACTATATTATAATATATTACCATTTTCGCTGGTTGTTCTCGATTGATTTTTTTTTTTTGAATAATTAAAGATTGATTTGTGTTTCTTTGTAAATTTTTAATAGATTATATCTCAATAATTATAAATTGTGGATAAATAAACTATAACCCATGTACACCCCTAATATTTGGTGTGGAACAATCCAAGAATCCCCCCACGTACTATTCTGTTAATAAACTTTAGTCAACGATGACAACGATTGAACACAGCTATTTTGTGAGAAACACTCGCACTTTTATTAAGACCCACCAGAAAAGAATTTCAAAACATTTACTACATTTTGCTTTGCTTACAGATTGCTTGAGATGAAATGAGTAGAGTGGAAATGTATATATAGCATATATCTTTATTCCTACGCTATATAAATTATTTTCCTAAAATGTATAGACAATTGACTCGTACAATTATTGGGCTTGACCCTCTTAGACTAACGATGATCTTTTAACACTCTCCCTTATCACTATCTCCATTCGTCGTACCATAGTGAAAACGTTCATATTTGCCCGTATTCAACCCTTTCGTAAACAATTCTACCACTTGGTTATCTGTTTTGATCTCCCACATTTCGATTTCTTTCTTTAGGGCTTTCTCTGTAATAAAATGATGTTGCACCTCCACATGTTTTGTTCTAGCGTGAAACACAGGATTTTCTGCTAGGCCAAATGCATATTGGTTGTCACAATGTACTTTTTTGAGTTGCTCTGGTCATTGCTCTATACTCCACTTTTGTAGTTATAATACCGTTGGTCGTCGTTTGCTACATCAAGAAATTGTCCTGAACTAAACTTAAACACATACCCAGTAGTTAATCTTCGGGTATCGTGGTCTCTTGCATACTTAGCATCACAATAAACAACTCGCTTATAGTCTTAGTCTTCACTTCTTTTGGATAAAAAACCGTAGTCGATTGTACCTTTGACATTTCTCAAGATTTGGTAAATAAGAAATGTCAAGCCGAGTTAAAGTTTGGTAAATAAGTCTACCTACTAATTATCGGTATATCGTTTCATAATTCAACTCCTTGCTTTTATATCCATAAATCTTGGCATTTTGCTCCATTGGTGTCGAGACTTGCTTGCACTCAAGCATGTCAAAGTTCTTAAACATAGCTCTGGTATACTTTTATTGGCGAAGAAACGAAGAAACAATTATTCATATGTGAAATCAACTTCACGCCAAATTTCCTTCTTTTTCTTTGATGAACAAGCTTGAGTTTGCATATGGAGCTCTGGGTGCTTGCTTGAATCCATAAAAAAAGATTTTATTTCCACAATGGTAGTAAATACCTTAAAATCTATCCCCTTTAGAACTCTTGTTATAGTTCTAATGAGCTCTTAGATCGTGTAGTTCCTTGATGACTTCTTCCTTTGTCACTACTTTCATATATATGCAGTTTATTGTTGCTTCGACTTTTACTTGCGTAGATTTTTTCTCCTTCACTCTGTAGCACGATGCCTCCCATTTCCTTTGTCACATTCGAGCTTCTCTAATGAAGGACTTTGGATCGTATGGAAGTACTAAGCAATCATCATATCGCGTTGTGAGATTGATAAAAACTTGTTGTCTAAAAGTTGTAACCTCATGTTGTTCTTTTTTTACAAGAGTGCTATGAACGTGTCTAATGCTTCTTTCGCTGTCTTGTCATCCTGAATATATTCCAACATATCTTCTCAGACTTGTCTTTAGGCAAACATTTGTGCAAGGCACCATTAGCATCCTCCTCTGGAAGCGTAATTTCACTTCTACAAATGACCTCCAAAAGATCTTATTCTTGCAGAATATTCCAACATATCTTTTCAGACTTGTCTTTAGGCAAACATTTGTGCAAGGCACCATTAGCATCCTAATTTCACTTCTACAAATGACCTCCAAAAGATCTTATTCTTGCAGACAAGGTACCATGTATCTTGATCAGTGTTATAGTTTTCAAAACAGAACTTGTAAAGTTATGAACTACTAATGACACTAAAAAAACTCACTCGCTGATAATCTTAATAATTTGTTTCAAGTGGAGGATCAGACAAAACGACAACCACAAACCATACTAAGAATTCTTTTACAACTGCATCAGTCAATATCACTATTTTTACCATTTTCTCATACTATGCTGATAGCGTTGAGCTTGCTTACTATTTCTCATACTATGTTGATAGCGTTGAGCTTGCACGGTGAACGTCAATAGGTCATGTGTGCCCACCAACCTACAATTGTGCACATGTTTCAACATACCACGAGTAGACATTTCAGGCCCAACAATGCATAGCTTCACTGCCCATGTTCTTCACTAACCTGCCCATGTACAACATCTACCCCGCACACATCCATTAATGTATGTTCAAACCAAGACGATCTAACATTCAACCCACCAACCTCATGCAAAGTCTCAAAAGCGCGCCCAAGCGAATATCATGCAGTGCCCAACCCACTCAATCCTTGCACACCCACGTGCACGCCGTCATGCCCAACAAGTGCGCCCACCGGCCCACAACCATGCTCACCAGTAATGTTGTTGTTAGCCTTCATCTTGAGTTCATCCATATTGATACAAAGGTGTTGTGACTTGTGTTTACAACACTCAAATCATGTAATTTGCGAAAAGTAAGGCCTATGGTTATGTTTCTTCCCAAAAATCTCACCATATAATAAATAAATATGAGGTAATATAATTGTTGTATATTGATGATTCGTATTCGTTTGGGTTGAAATGATTGAAGATTAAACAATTATTTCATGGTTAATTCAAGTTGCATTCAACTAAGTGGGCGAAATTGGGCAAAACTTCTCTCTTTATTTAAGTAAAAAGAAGCTATGAAAAAATATCAAGAAATAATACGAATAAAGACGAGACTACTCAATATCCGGGAAACTGTGGTGGTGGTGGAGATGCATATTGGAAACCAATATTTGGTGGTAGGATGAGATCATCGAATGCCGGTGGTGGAGACGCGGTCGGAGGGGGTGGAGAGGCAGTCGGAGGGGGTGGAGAGGCAGTCGGAGGTGGGGGAGAGTAGACGGGTGGCGGTGGAGACGCGGTCGGAGGCGGGGGAGAGTAGACGGGTGGCGGTGGAGACGCGGTCGGAGGCGGGGGAGAGTAGACGGGTGGCGGTGGAGACGCGGTCGGAGGCGGGGGAGAGTAGACGGGTGGCGGTGGAGACGCGGTCGGAGGCGGGGGAGAGTAGACGGGTGGCGGTGGAGACGCGGTCGGAGGCGGGGGAGAGTAGACGGGTGGCGGTGGAGACGCGGTCGGAGGCGGGGGAGAGTAGACGGGTGGCGGTGGAGACGCGGTCGGAGGCGGGGGAGAGTAGACGGGTGGCGGTGGAGACGCGGTCGGAGGCGGGGGAGAGTAGACGGGTGGCGGTGGAGACGCGGTCGGAGGCGGGGGAGAGTAGACGGGTGGCGGTGGAGACGCGGTCGGAGGCGGGGGAGAGTAGACGGGTGGCGGTGGAGACGCGGTCGGAGGCGGGGGAGAGTAGACGGGTGGCGGTGGAGACGCGGTCGGAGGCGGGGGAGAGTAGACGGGTGGCGGTGGAGACGCGGTCGGAGGCGGGGGAGAGTAGACGGGTGGCGGTGGAGACGCGGTCGGAGGCGGGGGAGAGTAGACGGGTGGCGGTGGAGACGCGGTCGGAGGCGGGGGAGAGTAGACGGGTGGCGGTGGAGACGCGGTCGGAGGCGGGGGAGAGTAGACGGGTGGCGGTGGAGACGCGGTCGGAGGCGGGGGAGAGTAGACGGGTGGCGGTGGAGACGCGGTCGGAGGCGGGGGAGAGTAGACGGGTGGCGGTGGAGACGCGGTCGGAGGCGGGGGAGAGTAGACGGGTGGCGGTGGAGACGCGGTCGGAGGCGGGGGAGAGTAGACGGGTGGCGGTGGAGACGCGGTCGGAGGCGGGGGAGAGTAGACGGGTGGCGGTGGAGACGCGGTCGGAGGCGGGGGAGAGTAGACGGGTGGCGGTGGAGACGCGGTCGGAGGCGGGGGAGAGTAGACGGGTGGCGGTGGAGACGCGGTCGGAGGCGGGGGAGAGTAGACGGGTGGCGGTGGAGACGCGGTCGGAGGCGGGGGAGAGTAGACGGGTGGCGGTGGAGACGCGGTCGGAGGCGGGGGAGAGTAGACGGGTGGCGGTGGAGACGCGGTCGGAGGCGGGGGAGAGTAGACGGGTGGCGGTGGAGACGCGGTCGGAGGCGGGGGAGAGTAGACGGGTGGCGGTGGAGACGCGGTCGGAGGCGGGGGAGAGTAGACGGGTGGCGGTGGAGACGCGGTCGGAGGCGGGGGAGAGTAGACGGGTGGCGGTGGAGACGCGGTCGGAGGCGGGGGAGAGTAGACGGGTGGCGGTGGAGACGCGGTCGGAGGCGGGGGAGAGTAGACGGGTGGCGGTGGAGACGCGGTCGGAGGCGGGGGAGAGTAGACGGGTGGCGGTGGAGACGCGGTCGGAGGCGGGGGAGAGTAGACGGGTGGCGGTGGAGACGCGGTCGGAGGCGGGGGAGAGTAGACGGGTGGCGGTGGAGACGCGGTCGGAGGCGGGGGAGAGTAGACGGGTGGCGGTGGAGACGCGGTCGGAGGCGGGGGAGAGTAGACGGGTGGCGGTGGAGACGCGGTCGGAGGCGGGGGAGAGTAGACGGGTGGCGGTGGAGACGCGGTCGGAGGCGGGGGAGAGTAGACGGGTGGCGGTGGAGACGCGGTCGGAGGCGGGGGAGAGTAGACGGGTGGCGGTGGAGACGCGGTCGGAGGCGGGGGAGAGTAGACGGGTGGCGGTGGAGACGCGGTCGGAGGCGGGGGAGAGTAGACGGGTGGCGGTGGAGACGCGGTCGGAGGCGGGGGAGAGTAGACGGGTGGCGGTGGAGACGCGGTCGGAGGCGGGGGAGAGTAGACGGGTGGCGGTGGAGACGCGGTCGGAGGCGGGGGAGAGTAGACGGGTGGCGGTGGAGACGCGGTCGGAGGCGGGGGAGAGTAGACGGGTGGCGGTGGAGACGCGGTCGGAGGCGGGGGAGAGTAGACGGGTGGCGGTGGAGACGCGGTCGGAGGCGGGGGAGAGTAGACGGGTGGCGGTGGAGACGCGGTCGGAGGCGGGGGAGAGTAGACGGGTGGCGGTGGAGACGCGGTCGGAGGCGGGGGAGAGTAGACGGGTGGCGGTGGAGACGCGGTCGGAGGCGGGGGAGAGTAGACGGGTGGCGGTGGAGACGCGGTCGGAGGCGGGGGAGAGTAGACGGGTGGCGGTGGAGACGCGGTCGGAGGCGGGGGAGAGTAGACGGGTGGCGGTGGAGACGCGGTCGGAGGCGGGGGAGAGTAGACGGGTGGCGGTGGAGACGCGGTCGGAGGCGGGGGAGAGTAGACGGGTGGCGGTGGAGACGCGGTCGGAGGCGGGGGAGAGTAGACGGGTGGCGGTGGAGACGCGGTCGGAGGCGGGGGAGAGTAGACGGGTGGCGGTGGAGACGCGGTCGGAGGCGGGGGAGAGTAGACGGGTGGCGGTGGAGACGCGGTCGGAGGCGGGGGAGAGTAGACGGGTGGCGGTGGAGACGCGGTCGGAGGCGGGGGAGAGTAGACGGGTGGCGGTGGAGACGCGGTCGGAGGCGGGGGAGAGTAGACGGGTGGCGGTGGAGACGCGGTCGGAGGCGGGGGAGAGTAGACGGGTGGCGGTGGAGACGCGGTCGGAGGCGGGGGAGAGTAGACGGGTGGCGGTGGAGACGCGGTCGGAGGCGGGGGAGAGTAGACGGGTGGCGGTGGAGACGCGGTCGGAGGCGGGGGAGAGTAGACGGGTGGCGGTGGAGACGCGGTCGGAGGCGGGGGAGAGTAGACGGGTGGCGGTGGAGACGCGGTCGGAGGCGGGGGAGAGTAGACGGGTGGCGGTGGAGACGCGGTCGGAGGCGGGGGAGAGTAGACGGGTGGCGGTGGAGACGCGGTCGGAGGCGGGGGAGAGTAGACGGGTGGCGGTGGAGACGCGGTCGGAGGCGGGGGAGAGTAGACGGGTGGCGGTGGAGACGCGGTCGGAGGCGGGGGAGAGTAGACGGGTGGCGGTGGAGACGCGGTCGGAGGCGGGGGAGAGTAGACGGGTGGCGGTGGAGACGCGGTCGGAGGCGGGGGAGAGTAGACGGGTGGCGGTGGAGACGCGGTCGGAGGCGGGGGAGAGTAGACGGGTGGCGGTGGAGACGCGGTCGGAGGCGGGGGAGAGTAGACGGGTGGCGGTGGAGACGCGGTCGGAGGCGGGGGAGAGTAGACGGGTGGCGGTGGAGACGCGGTCGGAGGCGGGGGAGAGTAGACGGGTGGCGGTGGAGACGCGGTCGGAGGCGGGGGAGAGTAGACGGGTGGAGCCTCAACTTGTGACGCTGGGGGTCCGCCCGATGGAGCCTCAACTTGCGACGCTGGGGGTCCGCCCGATGGAGCCTCAACTTGCGACGCTGGGGGTCCGCCCGATGGAGCCTCAACTTGCGACGCTGGGGGTCCGCCCGATGGAGCCTCAACCTTGGAGGCTGGGGGTCCGCCCGATGGAGCCTCAACTTGCGACGCTGGGGGTCCGCCCGATGGAGCCTCAACTTGCGACGCTGGGGGTCCGCCCGATGGAGCCTCAACCTTGGACGCTGGGGGTCCGCCCGATGGAGCCTCAACTTGAGACGCTGGGGGTCCGCCCGATGGAGCCTCAACTTGGGACGCTGGGGGTCCGCCCGATGGAGCCTCAACTTGGGACGCTGGGGGTCCGCCCGATGGAGCCTCAACTTGTGACGCTGGGGGNCCCGATGGAGCCTCAACTATGTTGGCAGGGGGTGCGCCCGATGGAGCCTCAACTATGTTGGCAGGGGGTGCGCCCGATGGAGCCTCAACTTGAGAGACAGGAGGTTCGGAAATATGGGGTGCGCCCGATGGAGTCTCAACTTGGGTGACAGGGGGTGCACCCAATGGAGCCTCAACTTGGGTGACAGGGGGTGCGCCCAATGGAGCCTCAACTTGGGTGACAGGGGGTGCGCCCAATGGAGCCTCAACTTGGGTGACAGGGGGTTCGGAAATATGGGGTGCGCCCGATGGAACTTGGGTGACAGGGGG